GCTGTTTCTCTTCTCCAAGAAGTGCTCATTTAAAGGAAAAGCTTTCAGGAATGGGAAATAATGCCCAGGATATTAAAAACACAGCTTAAGAGTTAAAAAGATTCCTTTATTCTAGGTGTTTTAACTAAAAAAATACTGAACTTTCTTTAGAGATTTCATCACAGAGCAACCTGCTTGGAGAAATCCCATCTCAGCTGGCCAACAAGTGGATTTTTAACTATCTGCCAACAGCAGTGATGATGTTTAATGAGTTGGGAAATTAAGAGAAAATTTCAGGATTTGACACTCTGGATTCAGGGCCAGCTCTTCTGCTCCCCTAGAAATGATGGAACAGTTATTTTGGATAATTTCCTGCCCATTTTAAGATCTCCAGTGCTTGTTTTTATTAAGGAGTATCTTTTGAAAGTGTTAACACTGAGAGTGCTTCCCCAGCAGGCTGACAATGATACAATTTTGGGTTGACTCACTGATACTGTGTGTTCACACCAGAAATTCACATTACAGCCCGATTGCCTCATGCTCCAGGGTGGGTCCTGCACACAAGGAACTTTCCCAGGGAGGAAAAATCTGGCTGTAAGCAAATACACATTTTTACAGGCACTCACTGGCATCACAACCCTGTTTCCTCTGCTTTAGAAAGCTGAAATTGCTGCTTTTTTCACCAAAACCAAATGCATAAATAGAATTGGTAAAGCAGCATGAACCCACCAACTTTTGCTGCATTTGTGTTTGAGGATGAGGAAAGCACCTCTAAAATTTAAGGGAATCCTTTTGCAGCTGCAGCTCACATTTGGGCAGATGCTGGTTGGTGTTAAGGGGCTGCTTCAGGTCAGACTCCAGAGAGATCAGGAAAAGAACAGCCTGGCATTCTCCAGCTTCCATCAGCAGAAGATTTTAGGGTAAAGAGCAGAAAATCCAGGATTCTTCAGACAGGCAATTAGTGGTTTCTATGCCAGCCACAAGACCACTTAGACAGGCACCAAAACCAAATGCAAATCTTTTATTCTATTAAAAAAATAACACAGAATCATTATCCAACAGCATCACCACATCTATTCTTGGGGAAAAAGAGACAAACAACTCACCACTGCCCAAAGTATTTGTATGGCAGCACCAGAGATGCAGATCAGCAGATAATGATGGTCAGAAAAATGGAATAACCCTCAACGTTTGCACATGACACACAGCAGGGCACTGCTCCCTCCAGCCTCAATTTATCGCTGTTTTTACACTGCTGGGGGTGAAAAGGGGAGCGGGCTGGAGCTTCCCTGCTGTGCAAACACATCCTAAAATCACGGATTCACCTCCTGTGTGGCTCCGCACTCTGAGCTGTGCAGTGGCAGATGGGCCACAGGGTGGCTGATCCCTGCAGCACAGGTGGCCGCTGGCACAGGTGTCACCTGAGGGTCAGGAACACCGCGGGGAGGGAACCCGGCTCGGGAAAGAGCCTGGAGAGGGTCAGGAGAAACACGGGGGAGGGCATGAAGGGATAAAGGAAGGGGAGAAGAAAGGGGTGAAGGAGGGGATGAAGAAGAGATGAAGGAAGGGAAGAAGAGGAGATGAAGGGATGAAGGAAGAGGTAAAGGAAAGCGTGAAGGAAGGGGTGAAGGAAACCATGAAGGACGGGGTGAAGGAGAGGATGAAGGAGGGGACGAAGGAAGGGATGAAGGAGGAGATGAAGGAAGGGATGAGGGAAGGGATGAAGGAAGGGATGCAGGATGCCATTCCCCGGCACATCAGCAGCGCTATCAGGGTGCCCAGAGCAGCTGTGGCTGCCCCTGGATCCCTGGCAGTGTCCCAGGCCAGGCTGGACAGGGCTTGGAGCAGCTGGGACAGTGAAAGGTGTCCCTGCCATGGCAGGCAGTTGGAAGGGGATGAGATTTAAGATCCCCTCTAACCCAAACCAAACCGGGACACCAACCTCTGGAAGCGAGAGCCCCAATTAAAGCGGAGAGCGAAGTTCAGCGAGCGCAGGTGCCGGAGCAGCAGCAGCAGCAGCTCCCGCCCGCTCCCTCACGCCCGCAGCATCCCCGGCCCGCAGCGGCGCTGAGGGAGCCCGGGGGGCTCGGGGCGCTGCCCCAGGGCAGGGCGGGGGCCGCGGCTCCACCGCCCGGAGCGCGGGGACGCGGGGCTGGCTCGGAGCAGGTGCCGCCGGGACTGACCTTGCGCAGGGCGGGCACGAAGAGGCCGCGCCATTTCGGGCCGTTCTCCTCGCCCAGGAACTCGTAGGGCTGCGGCGGCGGCTGCATGGCGGCCGCTCCGCATCGGGGCCGGCCGGGCCGCCGCGGTGTCGCTGCTCACCCGCCCGGCCGGGCCGCCATGGCTCGGCGGGGCCGCTCGGGGCTCGGCGGGGCCGCTCGGGGCGCGGGGAGGCGCCGGGCGGGGGTCGGGACGGGCCGGGCCCCGCTCGCTGCGGCCCCGCTGCCGCCGCCGCCCGCGGCCGCCGCCCTGCGCGCCTGCGCCGCCGCCCCGCGCGCCCCCTGCGGGCCGCGCCCGGAACTGCGGGCACCGAGCGGGGACTGCCCGGCCCGGGGACGGCTCCGAAACTGCGGGGAGAGCTCCGAAACCAGGGGATCATTGCTTAACTAGGGGACAGCTCTGAACTGGGGAGAGCTCCTGAGCCGGGGGGAGAGCTCCTGAACTGGAGTATAATTCCTTACCGAGAGGAGAGTTCCTGAACTGGGGGAGATTTCCTAAACTAGGGGAGAGCTCCTGAACTGGGGAGGATTTCCTAAACTGAGGGAGAGCTCCTGAACTGGGAGAGATTTCCTTAAATGGGGGAGATTTCCTAAACTGGGGGATAATTCCTGAACTGTGGGAGAGCTCCTGAACTGGGGGATGATTCCTTAACTAGGGGATGTTTCCTTACCGAGGGGATAATTCCTGAACTGGGGGATATTTCCTTACTGAGAGAATAATTCCTTACCTAGGGGCGATTTCTTTACCTAGGGGATATTTCCTTACCTAGGAAATGTTTCCCTTGCCCCAGGGGAAATTTCCTTGCCTGGGGGATGTTTCCTTACTGAGGGAATATTTCCTTACTGAGGAGATGTTTCCTTACCTAGAGGATATTTCCTTACCGAAGGGATATTTCTTTTCTTACCTGGAGGATATTTCCCTGCCCAAATGATATTTCTCTACCTGGAGGATACCTGGAGGATATTTCCCTTCCTAAAGGAGATTTTGCCTACCTAGAGGATATTTCCCTGCCCAGAGGAGATTTCCTTACCGAGGGAGTATTTCCTTGCCAAGAGGAGATTTCCCTCCCTGGATGATATTTCCCTGCCCCAATGATTTTTCTCTACCTGGAGGATATTTCCCTACCTAGAGGACATTTCCCTGCCCAAATGATAATTCTTTACCTAGAGGAGATTTCCCTGCCCAGAGGATGTTTCCCTTCCTAGGGGATATTTACCTTCCTATGTGATATTTCCCTTCCTAGGGGATATTTCCTTGCCTGGATCAGTTTTTCTGCAGGCTCTTCCCCTCCCTGCCCAGGGGCTGCTCCTCTCCCTCCCTGGGGCTGTCCTTCCTCCCTGGGTGCCATTTCCCTGCCTGCAGGCTGTGTTTTACCCTGCCTGGAGGCATTTTCCTCCCTATTTAGAGACTGGTTTATTACCTGGAAGGAATTTCTCTCCTTGCTTGGAGCCTGTTTTCTGTGAACTCTTCTCCCTGCCTCAAAGTGATTTTTCTCACAGCCTGGAGCTCTTTTCCTCCCCAGCTGGAGAATGTTTGTCTCCCAACCTGGAGGCAATTTCCATCCAAACCTGGAGGCAATTTCCATCCAAACCTGGAGGCAATTTCTACAATTTCTATCCCAGCCTCGAGGCACTTTTCCTCCCTCTCTGGAGGATGTTTTCCTACCTGCCAGCAGTTTCTCTCCATACCTGAAGGAGTTTCTCTCCCTTTTTGGATGCAGTTTTCTCCCTGCTCCAGAGAACAACATTCCCTTCACCCACTCATCACCCAAATCCAGCTAAATTTTTCCCTCATTTCCCTCCTGACAGCAAAATATTCAAATCTCACAGTTTATATTCCCTCCACTCCCCATTTTTAAGACTTGTCCACAGAGGGAATGGATAAATTAAAGCAAAGGGGAAAAAAATGTACCTTCCTGGATAAATTAAAGCAAAGGGGGAAAAAATGTACCTTCCTGGATAAATTAAAGCAAAGGGGAAAAAACATGTACCTTCCTGGATAAATTAAAGCAAAGGGGGGAAAATGTACCTTCCTGATAGTAAAATTGTGATCCTTCTTTGTAAGATTTCCTGGAGGAGCCTGATACATCCAGAGGCAGAAACTGGCTCAACCCTTCTGCCTCACGAGAGCAGCCTGGGAGCTTCCCAAGAAATATTTCTGTATTTATATCTATTCTATCTATATATCTAAATGATCTATTTCTGTATTTATAGTCTATTTATTTCTATTTTACACCTGTTCCTCAAACCCAAACTGTGAGCAAAAAGGAAAATAAGGATGGGATAGTGGTGGCACAACTCCTCCCAGAGTGCAGGGCTGACCCTGCTGGGCCCTGTTTGGGGGGACATGGGGAAGGAATTCCCTGGGAGTGCCCAAGGCCAGGCTGGGCAGAGCTTGGAGCTCCCTGGGAGGGTGGAAGGGGTGCAGTGGGATGGGATTTAAGGTCCTTTCCAACCCAAACCAGCCTGGGGTTCTGTGATTCTGTAACACTTCTGGGGAACAAATGCTGTTTGTCCAAATATTTATTCAGAGTTTCAGGAATTCTCATCCCACCTGTCCCAACAGGCCCAGACCAGAGCAGTCCTGTTGAGTGAGGGAAAGCTGTGAGGTGTGAGGAGCACAGATAAGATAATTTAGGAAGACAAGTTTGGTCATGTGTCCCCCTCCTGAAGTGATTTCTGTGACACAGAGTGAGATCCTGCCCAATTCAGCTGAGAATTAACAAATTCCAGTCAAACTCTTCTCTGAGTCAGGAGAAATGCACAGATTTTACAGCATTTAAAAAAAACCCCACCACACCATTTTAATCATAAAAGGCACATTTATGAAATCATCAAAGTGAGGCTCATTTGGAAAATAAATTAATGCATTTTCACACTTGGTGAGCAACAAGATTGATGCCCGAAACCCTGGTATCACAATCTCTGAATTTATTTTTATAACAAAAGTGTAAAACTTTTATCTCTGAAAACGTTTCCATTTCACAGAATGCTACATCAAGGTTCATAATTTAAATTTCAAATAAACTTTACCCCCAAACAATCATCACCTGAGAGGAAAAAAAGCAGTGCACAGGGAAATGCTGACTCAGGACTCCCCCTGCTCTCTGTCTGCTTTGCATTTTAATGTTCTTTATTCTGTTAATACATGTCAGGGCCACACCCCATGTGGGAGGAAGTGGCTTTTGCAATCCTTTTGTAGGATTTACTGTTGATAGGCAACACTTCTGGCAGGGAGGGAAAACAGGATTGTTCCACTGTGGGAAGTTTTACCCAGCCCTGTGGCACTGGATCACTTGGAACAGCTGAATCTCTGCCTGAAGTGACCAAAACTTTGCTCTGAAAGGGTTGGTATTTGAATTTCCAGCAGTCAATTTGCTGGAAAAGTAGATTTTACCTGGGGAAAAAATTATTATTATTATTATTATTATTATTATTATTATTATTATTATTATTATTGGCAGATTAAGCCCTTTTTCCCCTCAAAAATGTCTCCAATCTGTACAGTAAGCTCAGCCTCACAGCTGCCCTCCTGTGCTAACCCACTCCCATCAGAGGAGCTCAGGAAAGAACTTTTTAAGGAGAAATTCATGTCCAATTTTCTGGTGCAAGCTCCCCTCAATTATCTGTGCTACCCAGCAGCTGTTATGAAATCCTCAATACTTTGTCCCTGAGGCCACAAAATTCTGCTCTGCAGCAATTCTGCAGGACACTCCCAGATCCTGAGCTCAGCCCTGGTTTACTTCACCTCTCCCTGCACACAGACTCCTCCAGGTGTATCTCTGGTAAGAATTGGGGATCAGTGGAGGAGTCACCAGCCCTGTCTGAGCTCCCCCTGTGCTCAGGGAAAATGGGAAATCTCCCTGACTCATCCCTGCTTGGGCTCCAAGGGAAGCAACACCAGCCATGACTCAGGGCAGGTTTCTGGAGCTTCCCCCCCTTCACATTTCACATTTCCTGTTCCAAAGACCATTTTCCCTGATTGCTCAAGTGCCTGGACAAAGATCAGCTCCTTTTGCATCATCAGCATTCAAAGGAAGAAACCCAAAGCCACTGATGAGGTTTCTGACCGGTGCTGATTTCCCAGCTGTAAATGAAATGAAAAGTAAGAGATTGTATCCATGTTTTGATTTCTCCTCTATAAAAAACACAGACAGTGATCAGACAGAGTATCTGAATTGCAGATCTAAATTGACTTGGCTTTGGTAATCCTCTTTAAGCCTATTTTTCTGTGAAATCCTCTACATTCACGTCGAAGGCTCTGAATATTGTTCTCAATCTTTGCCAAAGCCTTGAATTCCACATCAGCAGGGCTTATCCTCCTATTCCATTACCTGCACGTCATCCAGAGGGCTGCACATCCACGTTCAATGAAATCAGAGCCACCCCACACCCGTGGCTTGTCAGACCCCTCTGAGGAGGCAGCACTGTGAGCACAGCCATGGCAAATCCAGGTGGAAAATGCCCCAGACAGGGATCCCAGGCTGCTGTGCCTGTGCTGCAGACCCCGCCATGGCTGCTCCTTCCTCAGCAGGCCGAGGAGCCGCAGAGCGGGCACAGAGCCTGCCAAGGCTGCCGGGCACTGCCTGGTGGCTGTGTGTCCCTCAGGAGGAGTGCCAGGCTGCAGGGGGGCAGAGGCAGGGCTCCTGCCGGGATTCCTGCCGGGATTCCTGCCGGGATTCCTGCCGGGATTCCTGCCGGGACTCCTGCCGGGATTCCTGCCGGGATTCCTGCCGGGATTCCTGCCGGGATTCCTGCCGGCTCAGAGCCGGAAGCGCCGCTGGGCCTCGTCGGCGATGGCGGCGGCGATGGCCAGGGAGGAGGTGGCGGCGGGGGAAGGAGCGTTCCTGACGTGCAGGATCCTGCTGCCCACGGCCCCCGAGCCCCCATCAAACACAAAGTCATCCACCAGATTGCCCTCACTGTCCAGGGCCTGGGCTCTCACTCCAGAGGGACCCCTGCAAAAACAAGGAGGAGCAGAAGGAAAATGTTCCTGAGTTAGGAAAGGAATTCCCGTGAGGAGGGGTCCAGGGAGACAGGGAGGAGGGCAGGGAGTGGAGACAAAGCGTTTTTTGGGGGAGGTTTAATACTCCAGAGGCAGAGTGGGGGCATCTGACAGTCATGGGATCATTGAGGTGGCCAAACTGTGAGCTCAAAGCCCACCCAGAGCCACCCCTGCCATGGCAGGGACACCTCCCACTGTCCCAGGGTGTCCCAATGTCCAGCCTGGCCTTGGGCACTGCCAGGGATCCAGGGCAGCCACAGCTGCTCTGGCAATCCCAGCCCAGCCAGGAATTCCCAATTCCCAATCTCCCATCCAACCCTGCCCTCTGGCAGTTTGAGGCCATTCCCCTTGTCCTGTCCCTCCCTCTCCATCTTTCTGTGGGCTCTCCTCAAGTACTGCAAGGCCACAGTGAGGTCACCCCAAAGCTTCTCTTCTCCAGGCTGAACAATCCCAAAATTCTCAGCCTTTCCTCCCAGCAGAGCTGCTCCAGATCATCCTGATGCCTCCTCTGGACTGAGGAGCTCCCTGTGCTGGGACCTCCAAGCTTCTGTATCATATTTTGGTGGAGGAAGGGACTAAACCCCTGCCATGTTTTCTCATGTGCAAATAGGAGATTTCCCAAGAGAAGAAGTTTCCTTTACCTGAGAACATCGTTGGTGGTGACCTCAGGGATGAACCTCTGCAGCTGCCTGACCTGGGCACTGAGGGAGAAGGCTCTGTACAGCTCCCCCAGGCCGTAGGACACGTTCCTCAGCACCAGCTTCCACAGCCCACTGTGGACAAAAGGGGAGAAACAACTGCACTGGGGCAAAGCCTGCCTCCAATGCACCAGCTGCAGCTGCTGCAGGAGGCAGCAAATGCAACTGCAGGGCACGAGTTCCCAAAATTCATTCATTCCCAAAATCAGGAACCACATCATGCTCTGTGTTTGAGAAATACATGTTTGGCCTTCTCTGCCCCAACAAACCTTGCTCACAGAGCTGTGGCGGTGAATTAATTCTGAATTCCAGTCCTGGAGGTGTTCCAGGACTTGATGAGCTTGGAGCAACCTGGGCAGGGACACCTCCCACTGTCTCAGGGTGTCCCAATGTCCAGCCTGGCCTTGGGCACTGCCAGGGATCCAGGGGCAGCCCCAGCTGCTCTGGCAATCCCAGCCCAGCCAGGAATTCCCAGTTCCCAATCTCCCACCCATCCCTGCCCTCTGGCACTGGCAGCCATTCCCTGGCTCCTGTCCCTCCATCCCTTGTCCCCAGTCCCTCTCCAGCTCTCCTGGAGCCCCTCCAGGCCCTGCCAGGGGCTCTGAGCTCTGCCTGGAGCCTTCTCCTCTCCAGGGGAGCATTCCCAGCTCTCTCTCCCAGCCCTTCTCTGCTCCCAGCACCCTCTGCAGGTATTCAATGATGCTGTCTAAGTTGATTAAGTTATCACAGTGCAAACCAAGCCTGGAATGGCTCCAGCAGCACCTTCCAGGGAGCAGCCACATTCCCAGACTGGCTGAGACATGTCCTGGCACAAAATTCAAAGATGAGACCACACAAAGTCAAATGTCTTGGGGAAGTCACCCTTATCAGCACAAACAGCCCAACAAGGTGGGAAAAGCAGGATTTGGGGCAGGAAGAGGCTCCCATGGCTCACATCTCAACAAGAGCAGCCACAAGCACAAGGCATCATTACCTGTAGGTGACAGCATCTAAAAAGTCTCCAGGGCTGAAGTCCAGGAGTTTGTAGCCCTCCCTCTTAAAGGCCAGCACTGCATTAGGGCCCAGCCAGACACTGCCATCCATCCTGGGAGTGAAATGGAACCCCAGGAATGGGAAACGAGGGTTGGGGACCTGAAATGGGACACAGGAGTGAGCAGAGCTCTTTCCAACAGCAAATTTGTCATTTTATTTCCCACCACAGCAACAAAACTCTGAGCCACAGAACCTCAGAGCTGACTCTGAGCTGGTTTTGTTATTTGTTAATTGTGCAGTTGTGGCATGTCATTAATTGAAACACTGGAGAACACAGCAGGGCCAGGTAAAGCTGAATTTTAGGAAAAAGGAAAACAAATAACAGAGGAAAAAAAAGTCCACATGATTTCTCAGGATATAAATCAACAACACCCTGATGTTATTCACCAGGAGCAATCACACTGCAATAAAATAGAATAGAAAATATTAGGAAACCCTTACTGTGTGTACAAACCAGCCTGAACTTAGCAGCTTAATGCTAATAATAATGCTAATAATGCTAATAATAATAAATCTGCATCTTCTTTTTTTTCTTTTTTTGTTCCACTTCCTCCCTCCCATCCCAAGACAGGGCCCTGAACCATTCCCAGGTGAGATCAGACAAACAGCAATGGCCAGCATTCCCAAAGATCCAGTGCTTAGCAGGCAAAGTTAATCTCACATTCAGAAAATCAGGATTTAAATGGACAGAATTAGCTAAAATGCTGCCCTAGGAATTCTCTCCACTTGCTCTGTAATTCATTTTCTGTCTGGGACTGCTGCTCTTCATCCCATCATTTGTCTGTATTAGATGGTAGAAAGGTTGTTCCCTTTTCTCCCACGTTTGTTTTTAATGACAAAATCAGCGAATTCAAATATAAAGTTGAGAGGAGAATACCTAAATCTGAGTGTTGGGCATTAGCAGAAAAGATTAAACCCTTTATCAATAATTCATCCCAGAATCCCTGAGGTTGGAAAAGACCTCCAGTGTCATCTGTGAATCTCCTGAGGGTACATTCAACACCTTTGTCCAGATTATCCATAAAGAGATTAAACAGGACTGTTGTCATTATTAAATAATAAATAATAATTACTGTCATCTCTCCCTGACTTCTGAATCCTGTCTATAGGACATACAGAAATAATTTAGAGTTTTCTGGATATGAGGCAATGTGACACTCCATCTTTTCTCTCTTAAGTATAAAAACCCCAAAAATAAAACCATAAACAAAACAACTGGCAATAACTTCCCACATGGTACTTCCCACATGTTTTCCTCAATTAAGAAAAAAAAATTAACAAAAAAATTAACAAAAAAATTAACAAAAAAATTAACAAAACCCAACTGTCCTGTCCCAAACCAACCCAATCTCCACCCACGTGTGCGCGTCACTGCCTGACAAAAACAACCACGGAATTTTTCCTTTTTCTTGCATTTTTAGCAGCTCTTGGGGCACCCAAAGCAGGGGCACTCACTGGATAAATATTTCCTTTCACCAAGTAAGACTTTTCTGGCTTGAGCAGCAGATAATCCCCTCGGAAAGGGACAATCCTGGGCTGGGGGCTGCAGCCGCTGATCCGCGCCAGGCGGTCGGAGTGGAGCCCGGCACAGGTCACAATGTGCCCACAGGACACCTCCTGCCCCTGGGGACACCAAACACCAACAAAATTACATTCATGAAACAAAGAACCAAAGAAAATTAAATCAATAAAATTTATCTAGCTTTTGTTAAAAAATAACACATCAAAATTCTATTTATTGGCTAAGAAAAACAACCCAGGAAAACCCACAGGCATTTATTTAAATCAATAAAATTTGACTTATTGAAAAAATTTATTTAACTTATTGAAAAAAAATCAAAATTCTATTCTATTTATCTGCTAAAACAAACACCAAGAACAACCTCACAGGCATTTATTTAAATCAATAAAATTTATCTGACTTATTGAAAAAAATTATTTAACTTATTAAAAAAATTTGACTTATTGAAAAAAACTCAAAATTCTATTCTATTTATCTGCTAAAACAAACACTGAGAACAACCCCACAGGCATTTATTTAAATAAATAAAATTTATTTAACTTATTGAAAAAATTTATTTAACTTATTGAAAAAAACCTGAAATTCTATTCTATTTATCTGCTAAGACAAACACCGAGAACAACCTCACAGGCATTTATTTACATCAATAAAATTTATTTGACTTATTGAAAAAAATTATTTAACTTATTAAAAAAATTTGACTTATTGAAAAAAACTCAAAATTCTATTCTATTTATCTGCTAAAACAAACACTGAGAACAATCCCACAGGCATTTATTTAAATAAATAAAATTTATTTAACTTATTGAAAAAATTTATTTAACTTATTGAAAAAAACCTGAAATTCTATTCTATTTATCTGCTAAGACAAACACCGAGAACAACCCCACAGGCATTTATTTAAATCAATACAACTTATTTAACTTATTAAAAAATTTATTTAACTTATTGAAAAAAATCGAAATTCTATTCTATTTATCTGCTAAGACAAACACCGAGAACAACCCCACAGGCATTTATTCAAATCGATAAAATTTATTTAACTTATTAAAAAAAATTATTTAACTTATTAAAAAAATTTATTTAACTTATTGAAAGAAAAATCAAAATTCTATTCTATTTGTCTGCTAAGACAAACACCGAGAACAACCCCACAGGCATTTATTTAAATCAATAAAATTTATTTAACTTATTGAAAAAACCCCAAAATTCTATTTATCTGCTAAAAAAAACCACCCAGGAAAACCACAGGCATTTATTTAAATAAATAGAATTTATTTAACTTATATATAAATAATTTATTTAACTTATTTAAAAAAATATTTAACTTATTAAAAAAAAAAAAACAAAACACATCAAAATTCCATTTATCGCTAAAAAAACCACCCAGAAAAACCCACAGGCACTTCTTTAAATGAATAAAATTTATTTAACTTATTAAAAAATATTTACTTAACTTATAAAAAAACCTGAAAACACATCAACATTCTATTTACCTGCTAAAAAAAAAAACCACCCAGAAAACCCCCACAGGCATTTATTTAAATAAATAATATTTATTTAACTTATTTAAATAAAAAATAACATATTTAAATAAGGATGTTCACTGATTTGACCCCACAGGGTGGGAGCAGCTGCACAAATTAAGAAATACATAAAAAGAAATGCATAAAAATCAAAAATTTATCCATAAATCAATTAAGTATAAAACTTATCCATAAATCAATTAATCAATACATAAAAATCAATTCACTTATTTAAAATGGGCAATCCATCCCCCACTTCAACCAGGGCAGCTGCTCTCCCACAGCTGCTCCCCAAAGCTGATCCTGCACCCAGAAAAAACCCAAATGCTTTTATTTCTTTAAATAGATAAATATTTCATTTATTATAAATATATTATAATTATATTAACTATATAATATAATGTATATTATTATATATAATATATATTATATAATTATAATATTATATATTATAAATAAAAATAAATATTTAATTTATTATAAATATATTATAATTATATTAATGATATAATATAATATATTACTATATATAACATATTATTATATTTATTATATATTATATACAATATAATTACAATTATAATATTATATATTATAAATAAAAATAAATATTTAATTTAATAAATTCATTGAAAGAAATAAAATTTATTTCACTTATTAAAAAAAAAATGAACTTATTAAATAAGTGAAATAATGATGTTCATTGATTTGAGCCCACAGGGTGGGAGCAGCTGCACAAATTGACAGCTCACAGGTGTGGAGAGCTGCTAAATTAATGAACCACCTTTACCATCTAAATAAAGAAATACATAAAAATCAAAAACTAGTATCTGTTTATTTACCAGGAGCAATTATACTGCAATAAAATAGAATAGAAAATTTAAAGAAATAAAATAGAATATTATATATATTCTATTATATTCTATTATATTATTATATAATAATATATTATATGTAATAATATATTATTATATATTCTATTATATTCTATTCTATTATATATTAATAATACATATTATATATTATATTATATATTATTATATATAATAATATATAATTATATAATAATAGTATAAAATTATTATATGATAAATAATATAATATATTATATAATAATATAATATATTATTATAATATTATATAATATATTATTATATATTATATATATTTAATATATATATTATATATAATATATACTATATAATATAATATAATATAATATAATATATTATATATTAAATAAATAAAATAGAATAGAACATTCTTAGCTTAGTATCTTCCCTTAAATACGAATTTCTTTTTCAAGTGAAAAAGAATTCACAAAAAGAAAAAAACCCCAGTATTTGGTGAAAAAAAATCTTAACAAATTTTGGAAGCTACTTTTTAATGAAAGAGCAAAAAAATAGGCAAAAAAAAAGCAGCAGAACTAAATTTAAAAATGACCAGAGGGGTTGTGAAGTTGTTTTTGTTGCAGATATTCCCTCCTGAAGGTGAAGGGGTGCAGGCTCAGCTGCCATGCACCTGCTGCACTGCTCTGATGAGAAAATGAAAATAAAATGATGCTAAAAGCCTCCTTATCGTTTTATGGATGCCAGAGCCCAAAAGCAAACATGAAAATTGGTGTTTGTCACCAGATGAACAAGTCATAGAGGAGCTCTTGGAAGCACAAGCATCAGATTGTGCAAATAAAGCAGATAAGGGATGTTAAATGTCAGGGAGCAGAAAGTTATCACTTAATATTTTACAGAATCACCACCATCATTATTATTATTATTATTATTTACTTATTTGAACACCCTCATTGTTAAGAACTGATTGCAGTTGTTTTATCAAACTGCTCGTGGTGCTGAACAGCAGATTTTTAATATTTTGGTTTTGGAAATTATTAATTCACAAGGAAATAAAATCTGAAGAAAAGGAGAAGCAGCTTCCTGGAAGGAATGCAAACTTCTGTTTCAGCCTTACCTTTTTGCTCCTAACAATGACTGGGTATTTCAGCCCTGAAATGGAATTAGACAAGAGAAGGAATTACTGGAACAAGCACCAGAGAACTGACAGAACAGGAAGGAATTTTCCTCTGGAATATCTCCCAAGCTATGTAAGAACTACTCTTGTCATAATTAATGTGGTTGGACATGACTGGATTTATTAATTAATAGGGGTTTTATTCTTCCCTCTGTGTGCCAGCACACATCCAACCTGCCTTCAGGATAAGGAACATCACTATCACAAGAATAAACATGCAAGATTCAGCTAAATCTGAGTTTAAGAGAGAACAACTTGATTTCTCTATTTTACTCTCACTTGTTTCAGCTGAAGGGTGACCTGCCTGCAAAAACCCCCAAGTGAGTTTGCTGAATACTCTCACTAAAATAATTTTGCCTTTTTTCTCATCCCTAGGGGATAGAAAAATTCAGAATTGTTTAAAAAATTGTCTTTTGAACAAAATCTTTGTAGTAAATGGAGGGCAAAAAAAAAAAAACCAAATACAGCCTTACCATCTTCACTTTCTGCAGAACTTTCCTTGGCCATCTCCATGGCTGTGACCTCAAAATCAGTCAGGATTGTCCCCCCTGCTTCCTGGAAGTCTCTGGCATAGGACTGGGCCACTTGTTTGTAATCCACAATGCCAGTGTAGGGAGAGTCCAGGGCCATCAGTCCCTGGCAGGGTTTGAGACACAGGAAGATGAAAGTTGGAATATTTCATCTGGAATACCTGCACTGCATGGCAAGGGAGGGCTGGTGTTTGCAGGGCTCCCAGGGGGAGGGAACAGATGAGAATCTGAACTCCATCTTTCAGAAGGATGATTTATTATTTTATGAGATATATTATATTAAAAGAAAATGATGCATTAAAACTATACTAAAAGAATAGAGAAAGGATTTTATCAGAAGACAAGGAAAGAAAGGAATGGAATGATAATAAAATCCTGTGACTCTCAGAGAGTCTGAGCCAGCTGGGCTGTGATTGGCCATTAATTAAAAACAACCACATGGGACCAATCCCAGATGCCCCTCTTGCATTCCACAGCAGCAGATAATCATTGTTTGCATTTTGTTCCTGAGGCCTCTCAGCTTCTCAGGAGAAAAGATCCTAGCAAAAGGATTTTCCATAAAATGTGTCTGTGACAGTGCTGCTCTCTCCCCTTGTGCTCAGCTGGATCTGGAACACTCCCAGGATGTTTTAGGGAGCAGATCCAAAATGTTTACAGGGAAAATGAAAATATTATTTTCCAGAAAATTTCTCTCTGTATCTACAACCACTCCTGAGTGTCACAGCTGCACCAGAGCAGGCTGCCAGATGAAACAGCACAGGGAATTCACACCCAGCTTTTCCTTTCTAACAAAGACAGACTAATCAATAACAAATCTGTGTTCCACACATTCCTCCTGCTGTGAAAATAAACAGGCTGAGAAGTGCTACATAACAACCTCACCGAAATGGGCTTGATCCAAAAACACTTTTATGGATGGGAAGGAATTTTCAGGCTCTTCTGAACTTGAAGCTCGAGGCCAGAAAAGTATTTGTTAAATTTTGTTAAATTAAATTTTAGAAATTGTTAATTTTTTTAAAATGTGTTAAATTAAAATATGTTTTCACTTGAGAAACAGCTCTTACAAGGTAAATAGAAGTATGGCAACCCCTTACCCTGCAGAAGGGCTCCTTCTCCTGGATTTCCTTGGCTCCAATGAGTTTCAGCCCTGGGACATTGTTCTGCAGGCCCCTCTCATACAGAGCTTTGAGCCTTGGGATTTCATCCTGTTCCACAGCCACAATCAGCTTTGGGAAAGGAAAAAAAGGCACAGCAGTGAGCAAAACAGAGCAGGGCAGGTTTGGCATCAAGCACAAGCAGTAGGGAATGAGTGAACAATGAATCCAGGGGGTGAAGAATGGTTGGTGCCATTAATTGCACAGAATTCTGTTGCTGAGGAAGCACTAATATATCACAGAGAATGAAAAAATAAATGCTAAACTGTAGCTTGAGTTACAATCAATTGACAGTATTTGTCAGAAGCAGCCTGAGAATACAAGTCTGCATGTGAGAGAAGAGAATTTGAATTTGAAGAACCACTGGGATGCTTCCAGAAGTAAAACTGAACTCAACCCAAGATGTACCAACCTCCAAGAGCCTCATAAGAGAGTGGGGACATGTTCTGACATGGCCTGAGTGGAATTGTACCAGTTTCACTTAACCAAGGAGGCTGTTCACAGCTATCTCAGGAGATGAATGCAGACAGAATCACCTGTGCCAGCTTTGCACAGCCCATGATCCTCCCAGGTGTGAGGCTCTCCAAGCCTGGGGCTGCTCCAGGGACACCTGGTGAAGTTTCACCATGATCCTCCCTGGAATGAACTGCCAGGGAGTGCCATGGAATCATGGAATTGTTCAGCTTGGAAAAGCTCTCTGAGAGTCCAACTGATCCCTCAGCACTGCCAGGCCACCCCTGACCCGTGTCCCCAAGTGCCACATCCACAGGGATTTGAAATCCCTCCAGGGATGGGGACTCCACCACTGCCCTGAGAGCTGTGCCAGGGCTGGACAAACCTTTCCATGGGGAAATTCCTGCTGTGCCCACCCTGAGCTGCCCTGGCCCAGCCTGAGGCCGTTCCCTCTGCTCCTGTCCCTGTTCCCCCCGGCTGTGCCCTCCTGGCAGGAGCTGTGCAGAGCCACAAGGGCCCCTGAGCCTCCTTTGCTCCAGGCTGAGCCCCTGCCCAGCTCCCTCAGGGATTCTGCAGCCCCTGCCCGGCTCCCTCAGGGATTCTGCAGCCCCTGCCCAGCTCCCTCAGGGATTCTGCAGCCCCTGCCCAGCTCCCTCAGGGATTCTGCAGCCCCTGCCCAGCTCCCTCAGGGATTCTGCAGCCCCTGCCCAGCTCCCTCAGGGATTCTGCAGCCCCTGCCCAGCTCCCTCAGGGATTCTGCAGCCCCTGCCCGGCTCCCTCAGGGATTCTGCAGCCCCTGCCCAGCTCCCTCAGGGATTCTGCAGCCCCTGCCCGGCTCCCTCAGGGATTCTGCAGCCCCTGCCCAGCTCCCTCAGCCTCTCCTGGTGCTCCAGCCCCATTCCCTTCCCTGGACATGCTCCAGCCCCTCCTGTGGCTTTGCTGGGAGGGGCCCAGAGCTGTCCCAGCACTGGAGGTGGCCCAGCAGTGCCAGCACAGGGGACAAGCCCTGCCCTGCTCCTGCTGCCACCCTGCAAAAATATAAACCATGAGCATAAATCATCAACCAATCACCCACCAAATTTTACGTTCTTGTAGCTTATAAACAGCATGACACTGAAGATGTCCAGATGGTTGCCATACACACCCAAGGCCAAAAGACTCAGTGCTAACCTCACTGTTAGTTTCTGCTAGGTATATACATGCAAGTATCCACGCTCCAGTGGAGATGCCCTGCACATCTTGGTACAAAACACAGAAATTCAGCTGCCCCAGGCTCCAGCTGAGCCCCTGAGGACAGCTGTGAGCAGGCTGTCCCCTCAGGTGTGCTGCTGCACAGACCCACAGTGCCACCCTGTGCCCAGCCTGGCAGCACAGGGAGCACACACCAGACACAGCTCCAAGAAAAAAACCCTGGAATTCCAATTTATCCCTCAGGGCCAAAACCTTGGGGTCAGGACAGAGAGTCCTGTGGAAACAGCAGCTCAGTGCCCAGTGAGAGTGGAAAACCTGACCTGAGTGTTAGAACAACAGGGAAATGGGCACAGAACTGTGTTCCACTGAGCCTGACCACACCTGGCATGCTCTGCCCAGCCCTGGTCCTCACCTTGCACACAGTGAATTAAAAATGGTTCAGAGCATGAAGGCAGCGTGGGGAGATGATGAAAAACCTTCTCTCAAACTGAAAGGGATGATTTGGGGGCAGGAGGGGATTATGGACATTTTACACATTTCTGTGTAAAATTATCTGCAGCTTGTGGAGAGAACCCACAAGCAGGCCTGTGCCATAGGTGGTACCTCAGACCACATTCAGAACAGCCTCAGTTTCCAAGGGTGAAGCAGGGAAGCCCAGGATTCCTGTACCTTCCCACACTGCTTGTAGGGAATGCCCTTCTGGTCACAGTATTTGTAGCACAGGGCTGCCCCCTGCACACACAGCTTGGCCTTCAGGGAGCCAGGGGTGTAGTAAATCCCACTGTGGATCACACCACTGTTGTGGCCACTCTGGTGATGGGCTGAAGAGAAAGAAAAACACATGGTTAGAACTCAGCTGTTCCCACTTCATCACTTCTGCTGTCAGAAACACCAGTTCACTGAGGTCCTGCCTTAAATCAGCATTATGAGGCATGATGAGGTGAGAGAACAGCACAATTAATTCCTCCCCTGGCCTCAAAAGGTCAGGGAAACACTGACACAGCCAGCCCTGGTTAATGATAATCCATCACAGCCTGCATTGTGTTGGACCAACAGGAAAAAAACCTGAAAACCACAATTTTTTCCTTCAAGAACAAACCAATCAATCAAAACAGGCTAAAATTCAATTTAAAAATCCAATTTTTACAATGAAATGCATCTCCTAGGGCCTCATCCAACATAGGATCTGTCCAATCCACAATTCCTTTGGACATGCTGGCAGGCCTGGGAGGATAATTTTGATTATTTGTGAACTGGATTGGGTTGCTATTTCCTCTTTGCAAATAGATAAAATAGAGGTGAAAAACAGCACAAACATTTTTACTGAAGTCATTTGGTCAGGTTCTTCTCCCTCTTTAAGGTGTGGATGCCCAAAGGTCACTCCTGCTTAGCACTCACACAGCTGTGTGTCTTGGGGATAAAAAGTCATTTTGTGTCATTCATGGAACATCTCAAAAGCAATTTATAGCCAGGCTGGTGGAGCTATTTCAGACAAGATTTTGGGCTCACAGGTCCTGTTTGGAGTTAATCATTGATGTCTGCCCCTTGGGATTCTCCATGCAGAACCTGCCTGTGCCCTCCCACAAGCTGCACCATTCCTTATCCTGCTTATTCCCCTCCTTGTCCTCTCTCCTGCCATCCCCCTGCTGCTGCAGCCCCAGCAGCCACAGGGCAGCTTGCACAGGAGTTTTTAACTCAAAATTCCCAATCTGCAGCCCCAGCAGTCACAGGGCAGCTGGCACAGGAGTTTTTAACTCAAAATCCCCAACCTGCAGCCCCAGCAGAGAAGCACAGACTGATGAAACCCTGCTGAAGGACAACCCTTGGGAGAAGGGTGGAAGAAATCCCTGTTAGGGGAGAGCCTTGGCACTGACATGCAGTCTCAAGCTGCACCAAGGGAAATACAGGTTGGATAGCAGGAAAAAGTTTTTTACAGAAAGGGAGATAAAGTTCTGGAATGTTCTGCCCAGGGAGGTGGTGGAGTCCCCATCCCTGGGTGTGTTTAACAAAGCCTGGATGTGGCACTGGGTGCCAGGGGTGAGTTGAGCTGTTGGGGCTGGGCTGGACTCCATGATCCTGAAGGTCTCTCCCAACCCAGGGATTCTGTGAGAGCCATCACAGAGTCCCAGGATGGTTTGGGAAGGAAGGGACTTTAGAGATCACCTCGTTCCATCCCCTGCCAGGCTCAGGGACACCTTCCACTATCCCAGGCTGCTCCAAGCCATGTCCTGGAAATAAGAAATCCATCACCCACTTCAACAACGAGGGCAGCTGCTCTCCCACAGCTACTGCTCCCTGCACACAGATATCCATGGGATGCTGAGGTTCTGGCAGTGTCCTGGGGCACAGCCTCCCCTGGGTCCCTGTCCCACTCTGTAACCTTTGCAATTTGCAGGCAACCCCGACAAGGGAAGAGAGGAGAATCTCGACTCCATGTTTCAGAAGGCTGATTTATTATTTTATGATATATATTAAATTAAAAGAAAATGATATACTAAAACTATACTAAAAGAAAAAGCAAGGAATAGAAAGGAATGATCATAAAATCTTGTGACTGACCAGAGTCCGAACCAGCTGGGCTGTGATTGGTCATTAATTAGAAACAAGCACATGGGACCAATCCCAGATGCCCCTGTTGCATCCCACAGCAGCAGATAATTGCTGTTTACATTCCGTTCCTGAGGCCTCTCAGCTTCTCAGGAGAACAGATCCTAGCGAAAGGATTTTTCCTCAGGTGTGACACGTACCTGGCTCCTGCTCCTTCTCCAGCACGGCCATGGCCAGCGAGGGGTGGCGCTGCAGGAGCTCCCGGGCCGCGGCCAAGCCCACGATCCCCGCGCCCACCACGGCCACGTCGAACGAGCTGCAGGCACAGGGACAGGGACAAGGGACGGTGTGAAAAATGCGCATTTTGTGATTGGCTTTTCGCAAATATTCAAGTGAATATTGTATGTGTTGTGTTAGAAAGTGATGCTGTGTTAATTTTCTTAAATATAGTGTTAAATATAGTTTTAGGTTATAACAAAATGTTAAAATAGAAACTATGCCATGCAAGATATTTTTCTAAAGAAAGGACTCGCAGTGAAACAGCAGCCACAGGACACCTGAATCTTTCAGAGAAAGAGAATTCATTGCTCCATTATCAGGAGAAATTAACTTCTTCCCACCTCACTTGGGCAGGGTTCAGAGGAAGCAGCTGACACTGCCCAGACAGAATCCTGTGTTTGAATGGAATTTCTGCACCATGGATGAGCTGTATGAATATGCAACAGGCTGTTGTTTTTAAGGGTTAATCCTCTGGTAACGTGGGGCCTTTTTTGGGCTTGTGCTGCCCAGAAAAGGTACCCAGACTGTCTGTAACTCTTTGTTTCATACTGTCCTAATCCTAATTGTCCAAATTATTATTACTCTAATTATATTACTATTTTTATAACCATTTTATTACTATTAAACTTTTAAAATTCTAAAACCAAGTAATTGGTGTTTTTCACAAATAACAATAGGGGAAAAGGGTGGGGATAGGGGAAGGGCATGTCAGGAATAGAGGGGAAAGGATGGGGAAAGGAAGGGAAAGTGGATATAAAGGAAGGTGATATAAGGGAAGGAGATCTAAGGAATAAAGAGGACATAGGGGAGAAGAAAATGGGATAGAGGAAAGGGGATAGGGGTGATTAATAATGTAAAGGGGGAAAGTATAGGGATGGCAGATAAAGGATATAGGGGAAGTGGCTATAGAGAATATAGGGGATATAGGAGAGAGGAAAAGGGGATAGGGAAAGGTGACATAGCAAACATAGAGGATACAGGAGAGAGGGACAGGGGATGGGGGAAATGATATGGAAAGTGTGAAAAATGCCAATTGCTTGGTTTTAAAATTTTAAAAGTTTTAGAGTAATAAAATTGTTATAAAAATAGTAATATAATTAGAGTAATAATAATTTGGACAGTTTGGATTAGGACAATATGAGACAATAAATACAAAGAGTTACAGACGTCCGAGTACCTTTTCTGGGCAAAATAAGCCTGAAAAAGGATTAACCCTTAAAACAACAGCCTGTTGCATATTCATACACCTCATCCATGATGCAGAAATTCCATTCCAACACAGGATTCCGTCTGGGCAGTGTCAGCTGCTTCCTCTGAACCCTGACGGTGTCTCCAATCCTGACCAGGCAGGAAGAAGTTCGTTTGTCCTGATAATGGAGCAATGAATTCTCTTTCTCTGAAAGATTCAGGTGTCCTGTGGCTGCTGTCTCACTGCCAGTCCTTTCTTTTAAAAAAGTATCCTACATAGCATAGTTTCCATTTTAACATTTTGTTATAACCTAGAACTATATTTAACACACTACTTAAGAGAATTAATACAGCATCACTTTCTAACATAACACATACAATATTCATTTGAATATTTGCGAAAAGCCAGTCATAAAGTACACATTTTTCACAGAAAGTCACAGAGGAAGTGGCTAAGTAAAGGTAAGAAGACAAGGGGAAGGGGTGAGGGGACGGGGGACAGGACGAGGTTCCGGTGCCGAGGGCAGGGAACAGGCAGGGAACAGGCAGGGTTGTGGAAGGTGCCGCTGGGGCCGGGCCCGCCCCGCTGCCCCCGGCCTCACCTGCGCCGCCGGCTCTGGAGCCGCCACAGCGCCGGGGCCCCGCCCGGGCCCGCGCGGCCCCTCAGCGCCGCCGCCATCTTGGGGGCGGAGGGAGCGCCGGGGCCGCGGCCGCGCCTCCTCCTCCTCTCCTCTCCTCCTCCTCTTCTGCTCCTCCTGCTGCTGCTGCCCCTGCTCCTCCTCTTGCTGCCCCTGCCCTCCTGCTCCGCTCCGCTCAGCCGGGCAAGGTTCGGCCGCTCGGCGCCGGGGCCAGCCCGGGGGCGGTGCCGGCCCCCCCTGCAGCCGTGGGCCCCGCCGGGCTCACAGCCCCGCTCAGGCCGTGAGGGCGGCGCGGCCTCCCCCTGCTGCTGCTGGCGCTGCAAATAACACCCAATAACGCCTCCCTTTCCCCTCTCCCGGCTGCAAGAAGGTGATGATGGCCTTGGGGACGCTCTTGAGGAAGCCGCCGCTGCCGCCGGGCAGTTGTAGAGCCTTCTGGGGATGGCTGAATGCCGTGTTCAACAAGTAAGAGTGAGTCGCTGGTTAATAATTAACTTGCAGATCCCTCAAATTCTCTGCGCGGTTTGTGAAGCGGAACAATCAAGTCCCTACGCTGCAGAAAACGTTTTCTGTCATTAATGCTCCTCTTTCCCCCCAGACTGCATGCTGGGTTGTTGGCATGGGGTCATTCCGTATCTGCTTCCCCTTCCAAAGCCGTGACCTTCCAGAGCAAGGTGTGGGCCCTGCCCCTGCCCTGGCCACATGGATCCCATCCCTAAATCCTGCTCTTCTTTGACCCCAAAACTCACCTTAACCGGTAGCAGAGTTTTCTTTCCTTACAGACATGGAAGGAAACTGAGTTAAGCCCTGTTATATTTGTATTCTTTTTCTAAAGAGCATCTGCCGCTTAAGTTAAAAAACCTCACACCAGATTAATGTGAAAAACGCCAATCACTTGTTTTTTTAAATTTTAAAAGTTTGATAGTAATAAAATGGTTATAAAAATAGTAATACAATTAGAGTAATAATGATTTGGATAATTTGGATTAGGACAATATGAGACAATAGAGACAAAGAGTTATGGACATTCCGGGTACCTTTTCTGGGCAGCACGAGCCCGAAAAAGGCCCCACGTTAGCAGAGGATTAACCCTTAAAAACAACAGTCTGTTGCATATTCATACAGCTCATCCATGATGCAGAAATTCCATTCAAACACAGGATTCTGTCTGGGCAGAGTCAGCTTCTTCCTCTGGGTCCTAACAGCGCCTTTGAGGCGGGAAGAAGTTCGTTTTTTCTGATAAGAGGGCCATAAATTCTCTTTCTCTGAAAGATTCAGGTGTCCTGTGGCTGCTGTCTCACTGCAAGTCCTTTCTTTAAAGAAAAGAATCCTACATAGCATAGTTTCTATTTTAACATATTTTATAACCTAAAACTGTATTTAACATACTACTTAAGAGAATTAACACAGCATCACTTTCTAACACAACACATACAATATTCATTTGAATATTCACGAAAAGCCAATCATAAAATACACATTTTTCACATTAAGCACTGCACAATCCAGAACTCACCCATTCTTAAACCCCTTCTAGTAAATCCCACCCTCATTTGTCTGACACACGGCCACAGATTTGCTGGGAGCGTTTCGATTATCCCCGGGATGATCGAGCCCCGCTCCGGGCGGGCTGTGGCTGCTCTCTGTGTCCCGCAGGGTGGATCACGAGCGCATCCGAGCCGTGGGTCCGGACCGCGCGGCCTCGGAGTGGCTGCTGCGCTGCGGGGCCCTGGTCCGCTACCAGGGCTCGCCCAAGTGGCAGCAGGACTACAACGCCCTGCCCACGGGGCCCCTGGGCAGGTACAAGATCGAGGCCATCAACGCCACCGACTCGTGCATCATGTACAGAGGATTTGACTACCTGGGTAATGTACACGGGGGAAAGCGCCACTCCCTTGGTTTTGGAATTTTGAAAGTTTAAGGGTAATGAAATGGTTATATGGATAGTAATGTAATTAGAGTAATAATGATTTGGACAGTTTGGATTAGGACAATATGAGACAACAGAAACAAAGAGTTATGGACACTCCAGGTGCCTTTTCTGGGCAAAATAAGCCTGAAAAAGGCCCCACGTTACCAGAGGATTAACCCTTAAAAACAACAGCCTGTTGCATATTCATACACCTCATCCATGATGCAGAAATTCCATTCAAACACAGGGTTCTGTCTGGGCTGTGTCAGCTTCTTCCTCTGAGTCCTAACAGCGCCCTCATAGCTGAGCAAGGCAGGAAGAAGTTCATTTCTCCTGATAATGGAGCAATAAATTCTCTTTCTCTGAAAGATTCAGGTGTCCTGTGGCTGCTGTCTCACTGCCATTCCTTTCTTTAAAAAAGTATCCTACATAGCACAGTTTCTATTTTAACATTTTGTTATAACCTAAAACTATATTTAACACTATATTTAAGAAAATTAACACAGCATCACTTTCTAACACAACACATACAATATTCATTTGATTATTTGCAAAAAGCCAATCATAAAATACACATTTTTCACAGTACACACGGTGATTGTTCTTAATGGATTTCATTTGAATTGCATCAAAATATGAATAATGGTGTCATTTTCTCATTCCTTAGCAAGATACTCATAAATAATTTGTGGGTTTTTTCCCCCTTTATAAATATTTATCAGTCCCCAGGGTTTTGCTGGAGGTGTGGTATGAAGTGGAAGGACTTTGGGAATTTCAGCTTTTACCTGAAGTGGCCATAGCACTAAGGAAGTGCCACAAATTTTGATGAATTTGTAGCAAAAAGCACTATAAATATTATTTTTCTTCTGCACCAAGGGATGATTTTGGTGTCTCTGAAGTTGTAATTCTGGTCATTATCCAGGCATTTATGATGTCTTCAAAGACAAATAAAAAAGACAAAAACCAAGTGTTTCAGGTGGTCTTTAAATAACAGAAACCAAAAAGGGAACAGGCTGTTTTATTTTTTCATAGCAAGGGACCCTGAATTCCTGGCATTAGCACTTTCTTATGTCAGTCATTGTTTATTACCCAAAATTGTGTAGGTTTTTTGTTACTTGCCCATTTCAAAGCTCTGGAATTCTTACTGAAACAATTCAAACCCCAAGGTTTTCCTAAATCTGAAGTGCCACAAAAGGGCTTTGGAGATTCACTGTGTGTTACAGCCCCACTGTATAAAGGAATGTGTGGCTGGGTGGTTTTAGGGGCAGTTGTTAAATTGAGAATTTAACAACCAGCACAGGCTTGTCAGTGTTCAGGAACACAAAACCAGGGAAGGATTCTGTGCAGCGGCTTTTGTTGGAGAGCTCTGGGTGTCAGGGGCACAGACCCAGAGCTGACTCTGACACGGGTTCAGGATCAACCCATAATGTTTTTATACCCTTATTGTCATATAACTGCATATTAATTATTAAACTTCTATTGTTCTATTGTATACATTGATTTCATCCAAGCATGGATTTTGTAGTTTTCATCAAACCCCTCAATAGTTTTTTATTATTCTTGTTAGGATTAAACAGTAATTACATCCAATTACCAAGCCATCATTGCATCTAACAATCCTGTCATTTATCATGGTCACTCAGTGATTATCCAGGTGCAGCCTAACATTTTCCCAGGGCCTACCAGGCCTAGCCTTCCTTTTTAAGTCCCCTGAATATTCCACGATTTTAGAAACATTTTATCCCTGTAGTATCAGGCTGGAGCTGGAGTTGTGGAGCAAAGCGTCCCTTGTGCCCCTGCAGATGGCCTGGAGCACGTCACAGACATCAGGCTGGAGAAGTGCATGTACATCCAGGACCAGTGTCTGCAGAGGCTCAGCGACACCAGCAACCTGCAGAGGAGTCTGCAGCAGCTGAGGATCATCTCCTGTGGCAACGTCACTGACAAAGGCATCCTGGCACTCCACAAGCTGGCGTACGTGGGGCACCGAGGGCTCCCTGCTCAGGGCTCTGTGGCATTGGCATTGGGGGATGGCTGGGGTGGCCTTGAGGATAGGTAATTAGTGAAGAGCAGGTAATTAGTGATCAGCTTGGCTGCTGTTCTGAGCCCTGTCGTGCAGCAGCTCTCTTTGACACAGTTTGTGTCCTGCAGCTTTCAGTGCTTGTCCAGCTCACAGCTTCCTGTCACGCCACCCTCCTGGGCCTCAGGGTCTGGGACAGGCCTGGGTGCTCAGGAATGGGGTGCACTTGGGTACTGCAGCTAAAAACCCCAAACACCCACTTCAGAAACAAACTTCCAGTAGAACCAGTTAAAGTACCAAAAATTCCAGTCACCATTTAAAATACTCAAAACTGCAGTAGAATAATTTCTCCAATTTCTCTGCCAGCAATTCAACAGCAGTTGCTCATTTTCTTTTTGAATATTTACAGGAACCTGAAATATTTGTACCTGAGTGACCTTCCTGGGATCAGAGAGAAAGAAACAACCTTCCGTGTGCTTCAGCAGGCACTGCCCAAGCTGGAGCTGGAGCTGGATTTGGAATAAACACAGCAGCACAAAACTGAGATGTGATTTCCTAGGATTTGTCTTATGTTGCATCAATGAAGTTGTAGACACCACTGTGCTTCCAGTAAAGCCCAGCTCTCCCAGTCCAGCCTCACAGGTGGATGTGACCTTTTAAGAAATCATGCAATTAATTTTTATTAAGCTTAAACTCAGTGGTGGATCAACAGCAGACAGGGCAGGCCTCTGCACGTAGGCATCTGGTTCCTGTTTTTCTAGGGAGCTCTGAATAGCTCAGAAGTTCTCAGGGTTCTATTGCACAGAAGCAGAGTGGCAGTGGGGGCAGTGTTGGGGTGTGTGTGGTCAGTGCCTGGTGTTGGTGCTGTTCCCTCTGGAGAATCTCACCCAGTAGGTGGGTGCTGATTAATAAAAGAGGTTCTGGGTCTTTTTTGTGTCCTTCACACTCGGAGTTTGTCTGGTTCCATGATCTGCAGGCAGGCAGGGTCACCCCTCAGGAGCACTGAGCTCTGTGCAGGAGCAGCAGCTCTTGGACACAGCCCTGAGTACGTTTTTGTGTGTGCTGATGGACTGCAGCAGTTCTGTGCAGCTCTGGAGTTCCATCCTCATCCCTCCTCATAAGTAAAAGTCAGTGAGAATTGCTGAGGTTGGAAAAGTCCTCTGAGACCATGGGAGTCCAAGTGTTCCCCCAGCACTGCCAAGGCCATCACTGACCTGTGTCCCCAAGTGCCACATCCACAGGGATTTGAAATCCCTCCAGGGATGGTGAGTCCCCCACTGCCCTGAGAGCTGTGCCAGGGCTGGACAAACCTTTCAGGAAGGAATTCTCAATATCAGAGCTAAAGCTTTGTGGCCCAGCCTGAGGCCGTTCCCTCTGCTCCTGTCCCTGTTCCCCCCGGCTGTGCCCTCCTGGCAGGAGCTGTGCAGAGCCACAAGGGCCCCCTGAGCCTCCTTTGCTCCAGGCTGAGCCCCTGCCCAGCTCCCTCAGGGATTCTGCAGCCCCTGCCCAGCTCCCTCAGGGATTCTGCAGCCCCTGCCCGGCTCCCTCAGGGATTCTGCAGCCCCTGCCCGGCTCCCTCAGGGATTCTGCAGCCCCTGCCCGGCTCCCTCAGGGATTCTGCAGCCCCTGCCCAGCTCCCTCAGGGATTCTGCAGCCCCTGCCCGGCTCCCTCAGGGATTCTGCAGCCCCTGCCCAGCTCCTCAGGGATTCTGCAGCCCCTGCCCAGCTCCCTCAGGGATTCTGCAGCCCCTGCCCAGCTCCCTCAGGGATTCCCCAGCCCTTCCCTGGACACGCTCCAGCCCCTCAATCCTTTCTTGTGAGAGACTCAGAAGTGCCCCAGGATTGGAGGTGGAGCCTCAGGTGCCAGCACAGCAGGAATGGCTCATCCTCAGGGAGAGCATTTTCACTCAAATCCCTGGGTCTGGGCTAGAGAAGGGCAGAAGGCAGTGGCTCCAAGCAGTCAGGTGCACAGTGCTGGCTCAGAGATGTTTTCCATGTGGAAGGAAACAAGGCCATCAGGCACACACAGGACATGGCATCTGTCCCACTGAAAGGGCTTTTACTGCTGTGGAACACAAAATGTACTGGCAAAACATTTTTGCTCTAAGTGTCAGTAAAAAGAGGATGTTCTTGCCCAGTAGTAAAGTTTTATATAGCAAAATACCTCCAGTAAATTGGAAAAAGCTAAATTTCTTTTATTCAAAATCATCACAATATTAAATTCTGAGATTCCACAAACCCCAGTCGTTCTAATACAAACACTTAGGTAGAATTCCTGCCTGTGTCTGGCCATTGTTATAAATTACATTCATGATTAGTTTTGATAAAATCATTTCTGTAACTACAAGCAAGTGCCCTCACTCTTGTCAGAAGCGGAATTTGATGATGAAACTGGCAGGAGAAGCTCTGGAAAAGACTAAAGACACAGCAGGGATGTTGGTCTGTTCTCCTGGTGCCTCAGGAGCAGGCAGGCAGCCCCTCCCAGCCTGGGCTGCACCAACACAGCTTCAGCCCTTCAGCAGCACAGGCACAGCTCCCCACAGAGCAGGGGCTGGGCCCAGCCTAAAGCAGCAGGGACCTGGGCCCAGCCTAAAGCAGCAGGGACCTGGGCCCAGCCTAAAGCAGGAGGGACCTGCTGCCCAGCCTAAAGCAGCAGGGACCTGGGCCCAGCCTAAAGCAGCAGGGACCTGGGCCCAGCCTAAAGCAGGAGGGACCTGGGCCCAGCCTAAAGCAGCAGGGACCTGGGCCCAGCCTAAAGCAGCAGGAAGGGACCTGGGCCCAGCCTAAAGCAGCAGGGACGGACCTGGGCCCAGCCTAAAGCAGCAGGGACTGGTGTATTTGGCAAGGTGGAGCTCTCCTGCCAAGTCTGAAGTGCAGGGACAGAGTTTTAAATTTCATCCTGTAAGCACTGGGTTGGGATAATCCTGCAGCAAGAGGCAATCAGGAATGAAAGCAGAATGCATTTGCCTTTGTACACAGAACACTTAAGATGAGCTTGGAGTTGTTTCTGCATCACTTCCTCTCCATCAGTGACCCAGAGGAGAGGACAGATCACTCTGTACATGCCAGAACTTTTAGTAATTTAGTTTTCCACTGTGTATCCTCCATTTATAAATCCTGGATGACTTCAAACAACTGAGTTTTAATCTGCCACCTGGTCAGATGTTTGGGAAGTGGTACTTTGATTTCCTTGTCTTGCAGCAGTTCTTCTTGCTGTCCAGAGCTGGGAGAACTTTGCTGCAGGTCAGCTGAGGCAGGTGCTGTAACTAAAGGAAAAGTTACACCATGTGTATTTGTTTGGAATGGGAATAAAGCACACATGGAATCAATCTTCATACAGAATATGAGCTATAAAACTATTCCTACTGTAATCCTGTATTTTTCAAGCTAAGATCCTGGGGTTTTATGACTGGACTCTAATTAAAGAATTCCATTAAACAAGGAAAATATCCCAGGTGATAGAAATGGAAGAGGCCAATCCGTGTGACCCAGAACTGACACCCTGTAGCAATTCTCCATCCCTCACCTCCAACCTCCCTCCTGTTCCCAGCTCAGCCTTAGAGCTGCCATGGGGAATGTGGCTCCCAGGAATAAAGAACTGTGCAATGAGGTGCATTGTGAGGCTGCATTTGGGACTTGGGATGGAGTCTGGAAAAGCCAGAGAGCAGCAGGGAGGCATTTGCTTGGCAGCTCCAGCTGCAGAAACACCCAGTGCATGGGGTAAGGGGTGGAAGTGTTACAAACAGAAGTGGTGTTTATTCATCTCCATAATTCAGGATTAAAAAGCACCTGAGTACTCAAACCAGTGAGAGTGTGCAGTTTGTGCAGCCCTCCTGCTGCTCTCTGTCAGGAATGCACATTCCTGGATGAGCCTTACCGTGCCGGGGCTGAGCTGTTTATCCCCAGTGCCCCACGGAGCCGCAGTGCAAAATCCACTTTGTACAGAGTTACTCTTTAGCCAGGGGCTGTTTTGTGCTCAGGACAGAACCAGGAGCAGCCCAACACCCTCAGTGCCAGCAGGGCCCACCCTGGGAGCCAACAAGAGAGCAGCCCCTCCTCAGGGGGAATACTGAACACCATGGCAGCCTTACCCCTGGCAGGTGCTTCCGGGCCAGCCTGGCCGGGTTCCCAGCGCCCCTCTGGTGTTCTCTGGCCAGCTCTGCTGCCTCCCTGAAGCTGTCAAAATAGGGGTGCTGCAGCAGCTGCTCACAGCTCTGCCTCTCTGCAGGGTCCATCCGAAGGCAGCCCTTGAAAAGATGGAGGATCACACCAAGCACTCCTTACCCAGCCCTGCACAATCCCTGTGCTCCCCACAGCCCAGGAGCATTCCCACAGGTACCTGTGTTAGCAGCTTGTTAATGGATTCTAAGAGTGGCTGTTCAGCAGCAGCACGAAGCTTGAGGAGCAGCTAATTATCCAACAATTATAAAAATTAATCATGGAATGGTTGGGTTGGAAGGGACCTTAAAGATCATCTTGTTCCAACCCCCTGCCCTGGGCAGAGACACCTTCCCTATCCCAGGCTGCTCTGAGCCCTGCCCAGCCTGGCCTTGGGCACTTCCAGGGATGGACAATCCACAACTGTAGGAGGAATTGTGGCTCAAGGAACTGCTGCAATCACATGGGGCAGCAAACCAGGTCCATTTCTCAGGGAATCTCAAACTCAGTCCCAGACTCTCACACCAGATGATTTGTTTATCCCTGGGCTGGGCTCCTCCACAAGCTGGAGTTTCCTCACCTTCATGAGAGCCAGTGCAGAGTATGAAATATTGGGGAATTTCACTTCCAATGGTTCCTGCAGGGAAAAAAACAACCAGTGAATGGACTCATATTAGCAAACTTTTCATTCATCAGGCACCAAGAGCCAGCTTTCCATAGGAACATAACCTGTTCCTCACAAAATAACTCCATCACTCCATGGGTTCAGAGGCCCAGCAGCTCTGAGGATGTGCCCCCAGAAATGGGGCAAAGCAGCAGAGATTAAACATTTTTTGACTGCTTTAACACAGATTGTAAGCTAAAATGTCATGAGAGGTTCAGCCACCTCCAAATAATATTCTGGTGCACACTGGCAAAGTAGAGGACAAAGTTTTTGGATAAGGAAAAAATACTGCACAGCAAAGGACAGGGCAGGGTGGGAAGGGAGGGAAGTGCAGCTGCAGGCAGCTCTTACCATGATCTCTGGGTCTGGAATTCTTACCCCACTGAAGAACTGGTTGGTGCTGAACACTTGCTGGTGCCTGGGAATGAGATCCCCTTCAACCAAAAATTTAAAAAAGAAAAATAAATAAATAAATTGGAGTAATTTGCTTAATTTTACAGTGCCTGCACTGAATGTGGCTGTATCCTCTAACAAGGCTGATGCCATCCAAGACAGCATCTCAAGAGGTGGAGCATCACCAAGTGAGCCAAGGCAATGTCCTTTGTGACAATCAATGTCCATTTGGGCCACCAGTGATCCCACACCCTTGTGACTGTGCTGAAGGAAAGGCAGGGCCACAACTGTTCCAGCTGCAGGAGAATTTAACTCCTCTTGGAAGAAATTCTCTCTGGAACTCCTGAGGGTGGGCTACAGGACAGAGCTGGAACACAGCCCCACCTGAGCCTGCTGCAGCTTTTCCCCAAGGCAGCGTTTTTGAAGCTCAGAGCACCCCAGAGTGAGGAAAATGTTCAAATCAAATCCATAGCAAAGGAGCCAGTACAGTGCCCCATAATGGCACAGCTTCAATCAAGGAGCTTTGCTCTGCCTCACTCCAGCACCTGCATCCAACAATCAATGGGAATCTCCTCTGGCTAAAACCCTGCCATCAAAAATTAATTGTATCTGCTTAACACTGGCATTAATGAACTCTGGAGGATGAAGGAATTGGTGATGAACTATTTTTCTAGGTAAGGAGCTTATCTGTTTAAAGCCATTGGTCACCTTTGTAGTTTTATAAACTGCTCAGTTAAAATTACAACTCTCTGTTCATTCCAACAAATTGCAGTGAAAAGTGGGGGGTTGTTCATTGTCACCCAAGAAATCAGATGTTACACACCAAAACTGGAAAGAATCAATGGGCCTGGATTAGTTTAAGTGTTATGGGGGATAAGGGCTCTTTTATTTAACAAAGAGGCTCCTAAATCCATTGATGAACAACAAGAAACAGGTGGAACAGACAGGCTGTGCTGTTCACACTCCCCTTCCCAGGCACACAGCCACCAACAGGCCCTGACAACACTGGAGACCCCCCAGGCTGGGATGAATTCAATCCAGCTGTTCATGGACCACTTGGTTTGGTAGCAAACCCTGAAACAAACACCTGGATCTTGGAAACCTTTATGCAGAACATTCCTGGTCCTTTCTGCTACAGACACCTCATGTTTTTGTCTGTGTGCAGACAGCTGAAGTTGCTGTGCTCCCCCACCCCAGCAGGGACCAGCAGGGGCATCCAGTGGTCACCAAACACATCCCACATCTTTCCTCATCTGCACCAGCCCCAGCTGCCCAGAGGGCAAGGACAGAGCAGGGATGGTTCCAGGCAGTCTGCAGGCAGTGATCCCAGCTCTCAGCCTGGTTCACTGTGGGCCTGTCAGCACCTGCACACAATGCCAGCAACACCCAGCTCCTTCTAAAGGACAGGAACCCCTCAAATGAAACTGCACCTTATAGAGAGAGATCTGCTGGCTGAATCCCCCCTGGCTGCCACAGACACATTTTATGGAAAATCCTTTCCTTAGGATCTGTTCTCCTGAGAAGCTGAGAGGCCTCAGGAACAAAATGCAAACACTGATTATCTGCTGCTGTGGAATGCAACGGGGGCATCTGGGATTGGTCTCATGTGGTTGCTTTTAATTAATGGCCAATCACAGCCCAGCTGCCTTGGACTCTCTGGTCAGTCACAAGATTTTATCATCATTCCATTCCTTTCTTTCCTTTCAAGCCTTCTGATGAAATCCTTTCTTTTGTTCTTTTAGTATAGTTTTAATATATCATTTTAATATAATATATAAAATAAGAAATACAAAATATTACATTATTATATTAATATATTTAGATATGTATTTATACTAATATATTTATTTTATATTTAATGATATTGTTATTATTGTTATTATTATTTTATATAAAATAATAAATCGGCCTTCTGAAACATGGGGTCAAGACTCTCATCTCTTCCCTCGTCCCGAGAGCCCTGCGAACACCACCGCACCTGGCCGCTCGCCGTTCCCGCCGCAGAGGGCACCATGCATCCCTCCGGGGCAGGCCCCAGCGGGGCTGTGTGTGCCGGGGACGCTCACCCAGCGTTCTGCGGATCAGGTACAGCTGATCCACGTCCGACTTGCCGGGCCACAGGGGCATCCCCGAGAGCAGCTCGGCGAACACGCAGCCGATGGCCCACACGTCCACGGGCGGGCCGTACTGGGTGTCCCCCACCAGCAGCTCCGGGCTGCGGTACCACCTGGTGGCCACGTAGTCCGTGTAGTAATCGCTGGGACCTGCTGGCTCGGGGCAGGGCAGAGAGACACGAACACAGGAACGTGGGGTCAGAGCCGTGCACAGGAGCCATCGTCACTTGTGACATTTTGGGGCATCTCCTGGCAGGCCAGAGCTGCAGGAGCAGCGTGAGTCACTGGCCACCAGCGGAACCCAACTTTGGAAACGCTCGGGAGCTGGTAAAAATCAAGAGCGTGTTTTCCTCCAAATGAAAATCTGCACGGCTCCACAGCCGGGCCCTGCACAGCCAGTGGGCAGTTCTCAGAACCCATGTGATTTATCTGAAGAGGAGCTAAAAAAACCCCAGATTAGGGGGTTTATTTACAACGGAAAATGTGAAGCCATTGTTTGCAGAGGCAGCCCGAGGGGCTTTTCCTGCCAGGGAGCTCCAGCTGTGTCTGCAGCCCTGCACAAACAACGGCTGGGCAGCTCCGAGACGCCAGGGCCGCTTCCCTGCCTCCCCCGTGCCAGCACCCCCAGCGGCCCGGCAGGGAGCTCCGCTTGTTCACGGCTGGTTCAGGAACCTCTACCCGGCCCTCAGCAGAGTTCCCTGGGCAAACACACAGCTACCACACAAGAGGATGTGCAGTGTGTCAGACACAGCCAGGCGAGGGCTGCGATGGCTCATCCCACACTCCCAGGACATGAAGAGTGCCAATAAATTCAGCACTCACTCAGTATGCAAGCAAATCCAAAGTCACAGAGTTTGATGACAGAGTGCTTCGTGATCAGGATGTTCTCTGGCTTCACATCCCTGTGGATGCACTGGAAGAAGGAAAAGAAGCAAGGTTGGAAGCATTTAACCTGGCCCTCAGATAAATTCAGCCAGACCCCTTTGCAGCACACTGTGGCAGGCAGCTCTTCCTGCTGAAGGGTTTCTGAGCAGCAGGACAAGGACCTGGCCACAGCCCAGGCTCTGTGCAGGCTCCCAGCTTCAGCTCTGCATCCCCTGGGAAGCTCCTGCCCAATGGTTTTGCTGACAAAGCTCAGCACAAGCTCTGCTCAGCACTGGTGACACATCCAGAGCTGGGGACCCTCCAGAGAGGGAGGATGTGACTCCAGTGAACGGCCACTGAAATTTGTGGGACTGGGATGTCACACCCAAGGGGAGCATGAGGGAGCTGGGACCATCAAGGAAAGGCTCCAGGTGAAACTCCTCAATGGGCATGAAATCCCTGATGGGGAGGAGGAAAGGGGACTGAGCCAGGCTGCTCTTGGTGGGGCACTGAAAGGACACAGACCATGGGCACAGACTGAACACAAAGGAAATTCCATTTAAACCTGACCAATTTATTTTATCTTTTTTACTGAGGGCATGGCCACACACCCAAACAGATTGTCCAGAGAGTCTGTGGAGACTCCAGCCTTGGAGCTTTGAAATCCTGACTGGAAAAGTTTCTGAACAGCCTGTTCTGGCTGAGCCAGACTGACTGCAAGGGTTGGATGAGGAGACCTCTAGAACCCCCTTCCAACATCAGCAATTCTGTGATCCTTTGGAGGTGACCTTGTCCTTCACAACAACCAAATTGGGGCTTGGCAAAGAATTTCTGCTGGTCAAACCCAAAACCTTTATTTCTTTTGTTCTGCTCAACTCACTGGGGTCTCACTCACGTTGTCCCTCTCCCATCATCACCTCAGAGCAAACCCCTTGGACTTTCCTTGCCAAGCTGGTGGTAAATTACTGTGTCTCCTCCTGAGGATTGAAATGCTGCTTATGAAACCACATGGAGCTCCAAAAAGGGCAGCTGCACAAAACCTCATCACCTGTGATCTACAGCAGCTCAGGCTGCAGCATCTCATTGTTCCCTTTGCTCCCAAACTCCACTAAATCTTCCAGACTGAGCAGGGGAACAGAAAAAAGACACAAACCAACAAATCTTGGAAGCAGGAGAGACCTGTGGCCAAGTTCCTGTGGCTCAACTGGACGTCATTCCCTCAGCAAAGACCAAACACCCATGCCAGGCCCATCTCCTGCCCCACTCTTAAATCTCAAGTGTTGGCAGATGAACAAAAATAAAGACAATTAGAGCTAAGTTTGGCTAAAGAGCTTCTCCAAAAGGCTCCTTCTCCTTCCCTGCTTCTTAAAATGTTCCCACTGACATATCTGACACACACACAACTCCAGAGAGCAGAGGAGGGAGTAAAAAGGATTTACTGTGTCTAAGTTTTGAAATCTCTTCACTGGTGCCATGGTTCAATCCCATGCCAGTAAAGTGAGGCACTTTCATCATCCAGCTGATGAGCTGCTAGGGCAGGTTCCTGAAGGGCAGCAGCAGTGCAGGGCCCAGGGAGTCACACAAGGATCATTCCCACTCCTCCTGGAGGATTTTCTAGGGTCTTAGAGCAAATCCCTCCCTGACAGCCAAGCCAAGGGACTGTGTGACAGTGAAGGCAGCTGGTGTGGGTGTACACCAATATTTCAGGTGTGTTTCCTGTTCAGAACAGGGGATAGCACCTGCCTCCATCCCATGAAAGCTCTGGAATCAGGAAAATGCCAAGAGAGGCCCCCTCTCTGCCCCAAGGCCACGTTCCAGCAATCATTGGTGCAGCTCAGGGGACTCACATTGTGTTTATGGCAGAAGTTCACAGCCTGCAGGGTCTGCCAGGTTATGCTCTTCACCAGGTACTCTGGCACCCTGTTGGAAAGAAACACAGTTTTATTTTGGCCATTAATAATGAATTCTCTATTTCAGGGGAAATGAGTGCTGACATTGTACAGGGATCTCTGAGCAAAACCATCAGGGAAGTCAGGAAACCCTTCCAAAGGCAGCCAGGGCAGCAAGAGAAGAGGATTTGTGTCTGGTGCCAGTGTCACAGCCAGCAAGGGCTGCCCCTGTGACCACACAGCAAAGTGTGTGAGTCCATCCCAGAGCCTGTCCTACAGCTCCTGGCAAGCCTGAAATGCCAGCAGGAGTTTCTGCCTCTGCACCTCTCAGGGCTGGAGCTGCTGGGGTATCCATGGTACACACACAGGGAATGCTGCCATGGCACTGCTTGTCCCGAGTGGAGAGGTGAAAAATGGGCCAGGGAAGGGTGCTCAGACCAGAGTACAAAGCCCTGCTTTGGTCTGGATCTCCCTCCTTCCCTGCCACAGCCAGCAAACATTTCCCAGCCCCCTCTCCTTTCTTTCAGTTACTGGGCAACAGTTCTTGAACTTCCCTGGCTGTCTGTAAACATCTTCAACAACCCCAGGAAAGGCAGGAGCAACAATCTTGACATTTTCCAACTCCAACACAATTTTATTTCACATGTTTAGTGCTGAAAAGCTTCTGGTTCATAATAAATAAAAACACTCCCCCAAACTAAACCAAAACAATGCAAGGCTGAGTTTTTCTTTCACACTTGGCTGTCAGTGGGTCAGTGACACTCTGCTGACACTGTGAGTAGAGATTCCTTCCAGAAACATCCCAGAATGATGGCAGTGCTGCTGTGACAGCTAAAAAGGGGATGGAGTTGGTCAAATGAGCTGGAATCAGCCCATGCCCACCCATCTTCACCTGACCACAAAAGACTTGACCATCTGCCCCAGCAAAGCTGAAAAGCAAAGCAAGCAGCCAGCTGTTACATGTTCCTTCTCACTGGAGTTGTTCTGATCAGCAGTCAGCAAATGGGAGGCATTTATTTCCTTCAGGAGAGTTTTCCATCCCCTCTTCAGATTCCAGGGAAAGGTTCAAAGTGGGATGGCAGCTCAGAGCTCTCAGCTTTGTCACATGCTGTCAGCATGCTCCTTCCTCCCGGAGAAAGGGAGTCAATAACAAAACTCTTGTTTACTCAACCCCCCATGCTGCAGCAAATTCCCAGCCCCAGGCCTGGGAAACGATTTATGGACTCCTGCTTTAGCATTTCCCCAGCACCAAGGCACCGGGATAATTAGGGACAGAGGGAGTGGCCTTCACAAGGTGTGGGCAGAACAAACCTGTGTGGAGCTCACACGTGGTGCAAGCACCTGTTTGAAGAGGAGTTTTGCAGAGAGCAAAAAGAAAAACCAAAAACCTGCAAGTTTTGCAGAGAGGTGCAGGCTCAGCTCTTAGGAATTACTCCTCACTCCAAGTGCTCCAAAGTGTAGATGTGGCACTTGGGGACAACGATTTAGTGGCGAACACGGCAGTGCTGCATTAACAGTTGCACTGGATGCTCTCAGAAGGCTTTTCCAACCTAAAGGATTCTGCAAGTCCCTGATTCTGTGTTTGGGTGCCCATTGCCCGCAGTGATGGCAGCAGTGGAAGGAGCAGCTGCTCCCCAGCCCCGGTTCGCTGCTCTGCCTCAGCCGGAGCAGGACCCAATGACACAATGTGCTCCCCAGCCCCGGTTCGCCCTCCCCGGCAGGTGGAACCCTCGGAAGGAGCAGGACACAAGGACACAATGACACAATGCGCTCCCCAGCCCCGGTTCGCCCTCCCCGGCAGGTGGAACCCTCGGAAGGAGCAGGACACAAGGACACAATGTGCTCCCCAGCCCCGGTTCGCTGCTCTGCCTCAGCCGGAGCCCTCGGAAGGAGCAGGACACAAGGACACAAGGACACAATGCGCTCCCCAGCCCCGGTTCGCTGCTCTCCCTCAGCCGGAGCTCTCCCAGACGCTCGGCTCGGCGCTGCCGTCCCCGCGCTGAGCGGGGCTGTGCGGGAACGCGGCTCCCAGGCCGCTCCTGTGCCGAGCCACAGCAACGGAGCCAGTGCCGGGCACTGGGCAGCTGAGAAACTGTCGGAACTCAGTGCAGCCCTCTGGGTGCCCAGAGTTGTCGGGACCCCTGCCAGGGGCTCAGAGACGCTGGCACACAGCCCAGAACACCTGCGGGTTTGATTGTGACCCGTGGAGCAAATTACCAGCTTTGTATGAAGACCTGAAAGCCACAGAAGTTTAAGTAGTGTAATAATAAAATTATCACTAGGTGAAAAAGTAGATTTTGGGGTTTTTAGAATAGGGGTTTTGGGGACAAGATGGAGGGACTTGGGCGTCTCCAGCCTTTCTTCTTCTTCTTCACTACCTCCATCTTCTGCTGTGATGTTGGCACTTACAGATTGGTTTAGAATGGAAACTCACTGCCTAACATAGGTGATAGGTATTGGGAAGTAACTGTAAATGTCTTATATGTAGTTTGTAGTATAAAGAGATAACAGTGCCCTGGGGGCAGTCAGTGTGCCTGGAACTGTCCTGCTGGATGGACCTCGGCAGGGCAGGAGAAAAATTTTTATAGATCAGATACAACAAACAACTCTGAGACCGAGAAATGAAGAGCCCTGACTCATCCTTCGAAGGTGCGGGCCGAAACAGAGACTGCTCACTGTGTCTCGGGGCTGCCATGAACGAGAAGAGCCCTGGCCTGTGATGAATGAGCCGGCTCTGAAGGGCCCGGGGCAGCACCGGGGCAGCGCGGGGCGCTCACTCACCCGCGGGGGTGCCGAGAAGAGCCCTGGCCTGTGATGAATGAGCCGGCTCTGAAGGGCCCGGGGCAGCACCGGGGCAGCGCGGGGCCCTCACTCACCCGCGGGGGTGCCGAGAAGAGCCCTGGCCTGTGAGGAATGAGCCGGCTCTGAAGGGCCCGGGGCAGCACTGGGGCAGCGCGGGGCCCTCACTCACCCGCGGGGGTGCCGAGAGCCCTGGCCTGTGATGAATGAGCCGGCTCTGAAGGGCCCGGGGCAGCACTGGGGCAGCGCGGGGCCCTCACTCACCCGCGGGGGTGCCGAGAAGAGCCCTGGCCTGTAAGGAATGAGCCGGCTCTGAAGGGCCCGGGGCAGCGCGGGGCGCTCACTCACCCGCGGGGGTGCCGAGAGCCCTGGCCTGTGATGAATGAGCCGGCTCTGAAGGGCCCGGGGCAGCACGGAGCAGCGCGGGGCCCTCACTCACCCGCGGGGGTGCCGAGAAGAGCCCTGGCCTGTGATGAATGAGCCGGCTCTGAAGGGCCCGGGGCAGCACCGGGGCAGCGCGGGTCCCTCACTCACCCGCGGGGGTGCCTGTCCAGCTCCTGCAGCACCGTGTGCTCGCAGTACTCCAGCACCAGGTGCAGCCGCCGCTTCCTCCGGAACACCTCCAGCAGCTTCACCAGGTTCGGGTGTTTGAGGTGCTGCAACACACGGGGGGTGGGCTGGTCAGAACTGCACAGGGTGAAGGGGTGGGGACCAGGTTTGTGTCCTGCAGGGTCACAGTTCCTTAAGCTGAACCCTTTCTACAAGCACAGCTCAGCCTCTGGGTATTTATTTTGGGAGCTGACCTCAATGGGTGGGCAACAAGCTCTGCCCAGGGCTCCATCCAGCCCATCCCTCTGGCACTGGGAAGCACCAGTATCCCCCTTGTCCTTGGGTATTGGGAAGGGATTCCTGGCTGGGAGGGTGGGGAGAGGCTGGCACAGGTGCCCAGAGCAGCTGGGGCTGCCCCTGGATCCCTGGCAGTGCCCAAGGCCAGGCTGGACAGGGCTGGGAGCAGCCTGGGACAGTGGGAGGTGTCCCTGCCATGGCAGGGGGTGGGATGGGAGGAGCTTTGGAATCCCTTCCAACCCAAACCATCCTGGGATTCTATGGTTTCAAGAGTCTGCAAACTCCCACTCCACGTCCCTTGGCTCCTGGCCACAAAACCCCCTTGGTCTGCAAGGTGTTTACTGGGCAGAAAAATGATTTATCAGGCCCATAATTTTCTGCTGATGAAACACAATCTCACTCCATCTCAACAAACAGGAGTTGCCTAAGCAAGGAGGTGCCTCAACAAACAAACAAACAAACTGTCACTATTTGCAGAGAAAAATCTGAAAAGAGTCAAGCAGGTCTGCACTTGTTCAAGTCAACAGTGATCAACACAGATCCTGCTGTGCCTGGCTGCAGTGGCTTTGGATCCTTAAGGATGATGCAGCTCCCAGCTGCTTTACAAGGAACTTCTGCCATGATTATTTTCCTTTTCAGATGTTTAATATCATTTAAACCTTAATGTAAATCTAGCATTATTCACTGAAATAATATAGCTACACATCCTGTGTTTGCTTTGGATAAGAGAAAAACTTTGGCTGCTTCTTCCAAAATGTAACTGAAAAATAATTATGCTTTTTCCTAGATTATTGTTTTCCTAGGATAGCAGGTGTACAAATCATGAGCACCATGGAAACGGTGCAAAGGGGACACTTCCCATTTCTTGGAACACAAAGCTGAGGGTACTGTGTGCCATCACCCAGCAGCAAGTTTGAAACAAAGAAAAGGAAATTTTTTTTTTTTTTCCCACAACACATTCCTAAAGCCTCAGGACACTATGGAGACCAAATGAACACATGAGTTCCAAAGAGATGGGACAGAGTCCCAAAGATCTGCAGATGGATGAAGCAACAGGCACAGCCTTTGCTGCAGAATCCTTGCCCAGGAGCTGGGAGGGTGAAAGGAAACCTTACCTGATCCTCTCCCCCTGTCTCCCAGATCTCTGCTCATTTCTGCATGCTGGATAGACCTGGGGTGTGACTCACTGCAGATGCTCCTGTGCTTTTATTTCATGGGGAAAATAAAGGCAGAAGCTGAAGGAGTAACCCATTTCTGAAGGAGTGACCCATTTTTGTGTGAGGATGAGCACTCACAGAGAGGTCAGGGAAGGATCAGCAAGGACAAGGCTCACTGGTGCCAGTTCTGCTGTCACTTCCATGTGGAATAGCTGATCCTGCATAGCCCCTGGCATTCAATCCACAGCTGGATCCTGCACATCCAGGGGCTCAGAAAGGGCGTTTGAAGGAGGAGCTGGGGCAGATTTATCAATTGTAGAGCAGGGAGAGCTGTGTCCCCTGGCTGTCCCCCTCCTCATTCAGCCTAGCCTCACTTTTTGCCCATGTGTTTTATATTGGCTCCAACTGTTCTGGGCAATCTCCCGGGCACAGAGGGGTCTGTGACACACACCAAGGGCAGAGCTGTGCCCACACCGGCCAGGACACGGCTGGCTCCATGGGGACAGAGCCTGGCTCGCTCCCTCCGTGCAGGGCACACCGTGACTGCGCTGATGCTGCTCCTGCCAAGCCCGCCGGCTGCTCATGGCCGTGCCTCAGCTCCCATCTGCTCCTGCCTGCCCGCCCCGGCCAGGATCACCCGGCATCGCCGTCTCTGGACAAGAGGGTCGGACATTCCCTGGCAATGGCTTTCTTTCAAAGGAACTGCCTGACCTGGGCACTTCATGGTGCTCCATCACCCCTGTCTCTTTGCTTCCCCCATCACCTCACAGATGCCCTCATGCCCCGGCTCTTCACGGCTGCCCTCACACCCCGTCCCCTCACGACGCCCCGTCCCCTCACGACGCTCTGTCCCCTCCTAGCTGTCCTCACACTTTGTAGCCTCACGATGTCCCTTCACGGATGTCCTCACACCCTGACCCCTCACGACCGTCCCCGGCAGCTCCCTCAGGGCTGGCCTCTCCCCGCCGGGGCTCGCCATGGCGGGCACAGCCCAGCGGGGTCCGTCCCGCCGCGCCCGCCCACCTTGAGCATGCGGATCTCCCTCAGGGCGATCTTCCGGATCACCGGGTCCTCCTCGGACTCCAGGAATTTCTTGATGGCCACAATCTGCCCCGTGTCCTTGTTGCGGCACTTGAAGACGACGCCGTAGGAGCCCTCCCCGACCTTGCCCAGCTTCTCGTAGCGCTCCATGGCCGGGCGGCTCCGCCACCGCCTCAGCGCGGAGCCGGTGCCGGGGCGGGCCCCGGGCGGGGGAGCCTCCCCGGCGGGCACGGCCCCAGGAACCGCCCCGGGGACACCGCCACGGCCGGGGCGGTCCCGGGGGAAGGGAGGGAGAGCGGGGCTCCCCGTGGCCGCAGCCGGGGCCGTACACTGACTCCGCGCCTCACGATCCCTCTTCGTGCCCCGCAGCGCCGTGTTCATGGAGTCACAGAACCACTCATGGACTGGACGGGAAGGGACCTTAAGGACCACCCAGCTCCAACCACCCTGCCATGATCACGTTGTTTCTGCACCTCTCTGCCTGTCCAGAGGATCGCTAGGTTTGACTCCTTTTCCTGCAGGGTTGGAAGAGGGCGCATCCTCCCACAGGCTCTGCCAGCCTCGGGCAGCAGCCGCAGTTCCCTCTGGCTCCCGGAGGTTCCCCTGGAGCATCTTCCCACTGCACGGTGCCATTAGCTCAGCTCTGCCACTGAATGGGCTCCTGCCAGCAGCCAGACCCTTTCTGGGAGCTTTCCAGCCCTGACCATCCTCTTCTCTGTCCTGGTGCACCCGGCTGGGTCCCTGGATCCTCATCCCTCTCCTCATCCCCTGACCAAGGTGGCCTTTTGTGGTGGTAATTGCTCTCAATATTAGATCTGAATATGAGTGTGGCCACCCCACTCCATCTCATGCCTCCTCCCTCCCCAATCCTTCCCCACTCCTAACTAAGATCCACTAATTATTTTTCTTCCCAAGCCATATTCATCAGGGATGTGTAGTCCTCACATTCCAGCTGCCAAGACTGACCCCACCAGAGTTAACCATCTCCTGCAGAGGAGGACTATTTATATTTATATATTTTATAGAAATATATTTATTTACAAATATATTTATAAATAAAATTATAACTTATTTATAAATATAATTTATATTATTTATAAATATTTATTTATAAATATTGTAACAGTAACTGGCAGTTGTGTTGTGCAAAGCCACATTCATGACATTATTTTTTCAGCCTCGTCAGCAGATCCCTGAAGATCTGGGATACAGGCACAGCACCTGCAGCAAACAGCCAAAGTGTGTGTTTACACAAGGTGTAAACTGCTCTAGGTCCTCAGCTGTGTGTTTCCCTACTCTGGGCAGCCCTTTGAAGCCCCTGCTCTCTCCCCAGGTACAAGGCAGGAGCCTCTGCTTTCCCAGCCAAGAACTCCTGAGTGGTTCCTCGGTGCTCCCAGGTGGCTGGGCTGGGATAATGTGTCCCTGTGGGAATAAGGTGTCCCTGCTGCTGTGATTTCTCCCTGTGCTGTCCCCAGGAGCTGCTGCTGGCTCCCTGCAGCCTGCAGGACAGGGATCAGCGGCGCCAGGCCCTTCCCACAGCAGCCACAAAACCTGGGCTGAGGTTTTGAGTCCTCCCCAGAGCCTCTGAGCAAGGGATTGTTCCCAGAGAGTCACCACGGCCCAGATCAAATAAAGCAGTTTATTTGGCATAGACTGAACTGCAACAGAAATTCCCGTGGAACAAAGCCTGGTTACACAAACTGAACGAGTGCAGTTTTGAGTCTCAGTTACACCTAAGGACTAAACAAGGTAAAAAAAGCACATTTCAGAGTCTCCCAGTCTGGTCCTTTCCATCCAGAGACACCGTGGCTCCCCTGATGCGTTGTACCTTTCTTCTTTAAAGAGATGTCAGCACAATTCCAGCTGTATTTTTCACTTGCAAGGAATTTGGTCAGGAAATCCAAAGAGATTAATCCACAGACTGCTCTTCCTATGCTGGTTGTATTTCCAAGAGCTCTGGGAGCCTGTTTTAAGGCTTTCAAGTTGGGTACATGACCTCATGCATCCAATAATTAAAATGTTGATAAATGTTGAGTGAGGAAGGAGGGGCTGAGCAAGCTTTTCCTTCATCACTCATGAGCTCCCCCTGTTAGGCTTCCTCAAGCCTGGTTTAAATTCCACAAAAACAAAGGTACAGACAATACCAGACAAAATTAAACAGTCAAACACAAATTATACTGATCAGAGTCACTGAGGCTGGCTGGAACACACAAATCTGCTCTGTGGTACGGAATAAAAGTGAGGTTTTACACTAGGAAACAGCATCTTGCAGATCATGCCAAAAAATGCCACTGTCTATGAAACCAGCACTAAGCATTTCACAACATGCCATTAGAAATGCTTCAACAGCTAAAAAAGGTTTGATTAAATGAGGACTTTCCTAAGTTTATTCTTTAGGATCCAGCAAAACATCAGCAATTCGTGTCAAAGAAAAATACTCTCTGCTTGTTATTCCTGCATGACAGTGTCATGACCTAGAAGTTATTTACTCCAGTTATTCCCCATAAATATTCAGATTTTATTTACAGGTTTCTCTAGTCTTTTAGAGATCTCCTTTAAGTGTTTTCAAAGATGAAGCTGAAATTACCTTCTGTAGTGAATGAGGTAAATTAAAAAAGTGTTTGCTCTACAATATCTACACCTGGTGCTTCACTTCACCTTAATTTTTGTTTTAAAGACCAGGAGAGGCACCATTTGAGGTTAATCACCAGTCACTGTTACCTGTGCAGAAGTAATTTCAATACTAGAGAACTCTTTCAGAAGACAAAAATCACACGTCCTGCTTTTACTACTGCTGATCCAATTCCAGCTGGCCACCCCTAAAGCACATTTCTCATGCTCTGTGGAGTGATTTATAAATTTCATCTGTACACTTAGTACTTATTAAGCTTTGACACAGTGTCAGAACTGAAAAGCTTGACTCGATTTGGATGTCAAGTCAGCAAGAATTAGTTTTGAATGACAGTGGCTAAAATGCTGAATGTGTGCAGGGCTGTTTTCCCCTCTGGACCTTCCCACCTTGCAGCTGTCCTGAGTTAGGAGATGTCCCTGAGCCATCGCGTGGGCCCAGACAATTCCTCCCTGGTAAATTATGGATCAGGGAGCTGGATGCCAACACAGCACCAAAGCACTCCCAGCTCTCACACACCTTTCCTGCTCAGCTCAAATGACCTGGGAATTCCAGCCTCTCCTTCCTAGGCAGCAGATCTCAGGAGCTGAACAGGCATTTAATTAAAAAACCCCTTCAATTCCAATGTTTCTGAGCATTGGAATTGTGCACCTGCCCGAGGAGTGTTCACATCAAAGCCAGCAGGGTAATGTGAGGTAGTAAAACCAGATGCTCTCCTGGAGTCAGTCTATATTTAATGGTACCTCAGGAATTTTAATTAATGAGGAAGACAAAAGGAACCGATGTGACTCTTCAATGGAGAAAAGAGAAAGGAAAAATAAAAATGCAGGTGACCAAAAAGTGATCAAAGCTTGGCTACAGAATATGGTTCTTATCATGTTTATTTATACTCCCAGCTGGGGCTGCAGCCATCCCCAAAGCACAGCAGCTGCAGTGCTGCTCAGGCTCAGCTGTGGCTCCAGGTCCCCTCTGCAGCAGCATAAATAAACCACACGTCGTGGGCAGTTGGATACATGATACTTTCATTCATTAAGGATGATGACCTGCTACAGTTTCCACTTCATCTCACAAGGCTTATCCCTAATTTATGAAAATAAAGCATATATGTTTTGTACATTTTTATATATATATGTATAAATATATATATAAAAAATACACACTGCCAGGCAACTTCACACACATGCACACGCACACACACATGGATATTGTACACAGCCACCCAGGAGCAACGAGTCTGATATCAATATTCTACTTTGTGTACACACACCCTACGTCTAGGAAGTAAGAAAATCCCTTTTATGGCAATTCTGCAGGCAGAAAAATCAGTACAAAATACTTTGTTGTACAAAACTGCATTTTTTTTACATGATCACCCAACATGGTAACACACCCCTCACTAATGCACTACATCCCTACAAGGAAAAAGAATAATCAAATCTTTATACAGTTGTAAAAAAAAAAAAAAAAAAAAAAAGTAAGCTGCTCTGCAACCTTCCTTTGCTAAAAGTTAGACATTACCCCATCCTAGCAGCAGATTAATAAATAAGGATTAAATAGTCTATTATACAAAGCCATACCCAATGGCAGATTTAAAACCAAAAAGCTTTGCAGATACTTTCACTTCCTACACAAATCTTTGTTTTATTAAGAATAAGACTCAGTATAAAACAGGGCAACAGCCAGCACTAGATCTGTATCTACAGAATAAAAGGAAAACCCAAGGGAAGGGAAATATTTAACAGTTTATGGCACCTTTACTGCAGAACACGTTTCAAGGCTCTGTTTCCCTAGAACTAACAAGTAAAGGGCTCTTTATCTCAGCTTTTATTAAGCAAACTCGACATAACCAACCACACAGTGGCAAGAGACAGAACCAGCTGTTCCCAGCTGCAAAAATGGATTGGTTCCACCCCAAAGCCCAGCACAGCTCGGGTGCCAGACAAGGAGCAGCCAAGTCCCGGTTTCCTGGTGCTCCTGGCTCCCAGTTCCCTCTGCTGCCTGGGCTGGGTGCTGCTCAGTAGCTGTTCTCATGTCCAGCCAGGATGTAGAGGTTGCTGTGAGCTGTGGGGTTTTCTGTGGGTCTGCTCTCCAGCACAACCACTCTGCAACCAAACACAAATGGATCCACGGTTAGGGGCAAGGAACAGCTCCTGGTGTAACTCCTGAGGGGGAAACTCAGGGGTTTCTACAGGTTGGGCACAGAGGTTCTCCCAAATATCTTGGGTGTTTCCTTCTTTAACCAGTTCCCTCCTTATCCACCATCACTTCTGATAAAAACACTCAAGGACAAGATATTGTGGAAGGGTTGGAACTGGATGGTTTTAAAGGTCCCTTCCAACCCAATCCATTCTGTAATTCCATGATCCCATCATCTGCAGCCCAAATGTTTATCCCTCCTACATCTTCTGATAAGCAACCTCAACAGTTCTCCTCCCTCCCAAATATTTATCACCTCATGGGTTCACAAGGATCACTGAAGCCCATCTCTGCCCTTGTCCTGCTGGATCATGTTCCTGTGGCCACTCTGGACAATGATTCTCCCCCTGTCTTG